AGACAACTCACTGTTCACACTTTGGATCACCCTGGATGTCCCACACGCAACACGCAACACACACACACACACACTACTACAGCTATGGCAGCGCTAGCTGCCACTACCCTAGCGCTATACTACACTTTTGCCCACTTCGTCGTCGSRCGCACTRCAGACCTCCTCGCACAAGCTGCTGAGGCAGCGCTTCCGCATGGCATCCGCAGGAATGAATGAATGGCTGGACGCAGCCTCTTGATTTATACTTCTGCGCTGCGTTGGTCTGCCCCATACCCCTTGGCCCAYGATGAGCACACAGTCCCAGACGGTACTTGCTGGACAGGACCGGACTGACTAAYTGGGACTATTCTACCACCACTTGACCACTTGCCTCGGTTGAATGCAGGCCTACTCCGAAAGGCCACTTCTAGAAGTGTCTAACTTGGCCTTTCGGTACTGTAGCAGCTACGACCTTGMCCTTTCAGGTAAGTAGCAGCTACGACCTTGACTCCTCAGGCAGCCTACAGCTACGACTTCGGAACTGTCTAGACTCCTACTCTACAGGTCTACAGTTCGATTCCCTTCTACCCTATGACCTACGACAAACTGCCTATCACTGGCGTTCCTACAGGTCGCGGGTTCAAGTCTACAGGTTGACACTGATACTGTACACAGGTAAGACGGGGATCTAGGGATCGAGCCCTGGGATCTGCATTCGCTACTGCGAACTGGTGAATACCGTTTCAGGTATTCCAAAAAGAGATGAATTAATTCTAAAGTATTCAAGAAATTTCAAAATAGAAAAAAAAAAAATCGAAGAAAAAGAATTACTTAATTTCAAAATATTTCAAAGAAATTTTAAAAAGAAGTAATGAGTTCAAAAGTATTTTTTCATTCAAAATTTTGAGAAAGAACAAATTAGTTAATGCAAAAGGGAAGTTCGGAAGGAAAATTTCAAACGGAAAAGATTTTACAAAGAAATTTGTGAAAAGGGTGATTTAATTCTAAAGTATTTCGAAAAGATTTTGTGGAACTAACGAATTAATTGGGACGTATTTCGAAAATTGTAATGAACCCAGATCGTGAGACAGTTGTCAACAATGCAAGCCCAAATAAATGTCCATCGGCTGATGATTATACGTAGTCCAAATCGTAACCAGACATATGACGTGAGGTAATCATACACAAACGAAGAGAAGGGAGGGAGAAGAGACAAAGGAGAGGAAGTATAATGCCCACTCCTGCTTCGGGCTCCCTCCTCCACTGCCACCTCAACAATCAATAGTCTGAACGAGTATCCAAGTATCCTCAATGTGCCATGTGGCACGTCTAATCAGTTCCACATCAGCATCTAGAGCAATGTCGACATGAAGACCATCAGGTACGTATCCTCGAACTCTCCACAGTCCTGATCCCCTCCTGAAGTGACGACGAAACAGAACAGCAATGCCGATTACGTAGTCCCATTCATAGAACACGTGGCAGTAGCCACGTCAGCCAATGATACACGTGGCAGCAGCCACATCAACGATAGCGCATGGCAGTTGCCACGTCAGCACGCCAAGAAGAGAGGAGCAAGTCGGCCACCATGCCGGACTAGCAGCGCCTCGCCAAGTCACAATGCCAGCGTCGCAACGTCGAGCCAGCGTTGAAGTCAATGCGTGAAGTCAGCATCAACGCACGACATAATAAATGTCAAAGCCAGGGAGTCGGCTCTTATGTAGTGTTGACGCTGGGTCTGGACCCCGGATGTTGTATCCCTCAGCCCTCCAGATCTCAATGTGAATGAGGGCCCAGATTGGCCTGAAACCAAATTCCCTCCGCCCTGGATGCTGTTTGGGTACCTGCGCACAACAAGTGAGTGTATCCAACCCAGGGCCTGGGTGCGGTACCTTTGACTTTACAATTGACTTTGACTTTTGAATTTCCTGTGTGCAGCGTTCGGTCACACAGCCACACTAAACAGACTCAGACCTGGGCGTGCCTTGGTCACACGGCCCATTTTCGAGTTCCACCGCAGAAATATCGAAGACTTTAACCCTCGTTCATAAGCAGCGACAATATCAGGAGCAGTTTCAAGTAGTTCACGTTTACTAAACCATTTGTCCTCAGATGGTGCTTGAGTTTTAAAACGTATCTTGAACTGCTTCTGAGGTCGTCCACGTCCTCCCGTAGAGAAGTAGCCATGCTCTATGATCCTGTCAACCTCGTATCCGCCATCCATGTCTGGTGGAATCATAGAGGGTCTATGTGGAAACTCATTTCCTTCTACGTAAGGCAACAATTTGGACACATGAAAGACAGGATATGTTTTGAGATGAGGGGGAATATCAACTCGATAAGACGGTCCCTCTGCATCTCCAATTACCTTGAGAACTTCCCAGGATCCAAAATAGACAGGTAGCAATTTATGGGACACATCTTTTTCTAGTGAAAACTCTTTAGATTTTACCCAAACCAAATCACCTTCTTTGAATGTAGACGGTCGACGGTGCTTGTTGGCTTGTTCAATCATCCGTAATTGAGCTTTCCTTATATTATCTTTGACTTTCTGAATGTCTTTCTGAAACAAGATTGCATATTCTCGGGTCCCTGGGGCAACCTAAGAAATTGGTCCCGGTTCAGTACATCAATGGGACGTTTAGGCTTCGATCCTTTGTAAAGTGCATTTGGGGTTCGTCCAGTAGACGTGTGGACACTATTGTTATATGCACTTGCAATCTTAGGTAAGTTTTCGTCCCAATCAATCCAATCGGGTCTACTATACATACGCAAAAGTTGTTGGCACAAACGATTCATTTGCTCAGTCTGGCCATTCATTTTGGGATGCCTCCCTGACGACATGGTCAGCCGTGTGCCATAAGCTTCCATCAGCTTTTGTCATGGCAAACTACTGAACCTGACATCTCGATCAGACACAATGGTTTTAGGGAACCCATACTCAGTGACCCATCGCATCTGAAACTTCTGAATGACAAGTTCAATACGTGCTTCTGCTGGTAAGGGAACAAACATAGCGTATTTAGATAAACGATCCACAATTACCATCACTTGACTATTACCATTTCGACTTTTAACCAGACTCATAAAGTCAATTGAGATAGACTCACCTGGTTCACTTGGTATAGGTGATGGCTTGAGAAGTCAAAGGGGTTTTTCATGCGACGGCTTGTTTCTCTGACACACTAAACATGTACGAACATATGTTAGTACATCTTCTTTAAGTCCCTTCCATTCGAAACGTTTTCTGACTTCAGCATATGTTTTCTTAAAACCAAAATGTCCCTCAGAGTCGTGGCATTCCCCAATCAACAGACTTTTGATCTCTTCCTTATGAGGAATACACAGTCTTTTTTCAGTTTGGTCAATCAAGAATAACAATCCATCAGTCATTCTATAGTTGGGTAGTTGGGACCGATCTCGTACAAGGACATCCATGATTGGTTTCCTGATATGATCAGTAGCCTATCCTTGGCGAATCTGGTCTTTCAGGCATTCCCAACATCCAAGTAAGAGACAATTGCACCAAACAAATCACTTCTTCTGGACAATGCGTCTGCGACCACATTCGCCTTACCTTTGATCGTTTTCAACTCAAAATCGAAGGTATCAATAAACGCAGACCATCGTACCATCTTATCAGAGAGCCTAGGTTGTGTCTTTATCCACTTCAGAGTGGAGTGGTCTGAATACAAAGTAAAGTGTCTCCCTAATAAGTAGTGCTTCCACGTGGTTAGTGCATAGACTAAGGCATACAACTCCCTTTCATAGGTGGAGTTGGTAACCTTTTTCGATGGCATTCGTGTAGACATAAACTCTATGGGCCTGTAGCCCTTGCCGTCATCCTGCTGGAGAACAACACCAATCCCATATTGACTTGCATCAGTAGTGACAATGAAAAGGTAAAGATGATCAATAATCTTAAGGACGGGGTAGTAAGTCAAGGCATATTTCAATTTCCGAAAGGAAGACTCACAACCCTTATCCCACAACCAGATAGTTTCTTTCTTTAACAATCTTCGCATTGGTGCAGCAATCAGTGAGGAGTTCCTAACAAACTTCCTGTAGTAACTGGCTAAACCAAGGAAAGATCGCAATTCAGTTATAGACTTAGGTTGTGGTCAATCTCTAATTGCAGAAATCTTTTTCTCTTCCGGCCTTAGACCTTTTTCGTTCACTATGTGTCATAAGTACAACACTTCGGACTTAGCAAACTCAAAGTTTTTGGGATTGATCTTGAAGTTTCCCTCACGCAACTTCCCTAGCACCAGACGAAGGTGCTTCTCATGATCTTCTAGTGTCTTGCTCTACACTAGAATATCATCAAGATAGACGATGACGAACTTATCTAGCCACCGACGAAAGAGTTCATTCATAGACCTTTGAAAGGTCGCGGGGGCATTAGTGTCCGAAGGGCATCACCATAAACTCGTAATGGCCATACCTGGTTAGGAACGCAGTCTTATGTTGATCCGTGGGTTCCACCTCGATCTGGTGGTATCCGTACTTCAGATCAATCTTACTGAAAAACTTGCAGCCCTGCAACTGGTCCAACAAGTCGTCAATATGTGGTAGAGGTTCGGCATTCTTAACAGTGACGACATTCAACCCTCTATAGTCAATACAGAGACGTAACTCACCTTCCTTTTTGGGCACAAATAAGACAGGGGCACCATAAGGTGAGGAGCTTGGGCGAATCCATTCTTTTTCTGCTAAGTCCTGCAGTTGTTTTCTTAATTCCTCAAGTTCCCTGGGAGACATTCGATAGATAGGGCCCTTGGGAATCTTACTGCCAGGAATAATTTCGATTGTGTGCTTGATAGCACGTTCAGTTATTTCTGTCGGTTATGAAAATAAGTCTTTATACTCACTAAGGAGTTTTTCAGTCGAAGGAGGGCAGAAAGTAGAACATTCTCCGACTTTCTTTACAAAGACCATCATTACTTCCTGTTCCAACTATTTCTTTGAAACCATCGAACGAAACGCGGGGTAACTCATACAACAAAAAAAGAGACTTGAGTCAGACCCAGACTTATGAAACAGTTTGATTGGTTTCAATTCAAATTGTGCGTCTCGCAATTGCACAACCTTCTCGTTGAACTTAATATCTGGGTTGGCTTCCTCGTGCCAATCCATTCCCAGAATCAAGTCAAACGGTAGATTCTTTTCGATCAGGAAGGAAACTTCATGCAAAATCCTCTTACCTTTCCTTGTTCGAAACCAACACTTAACACAATCAAGATACTGCGAGACAGTGATTGTGCTTTTGTCAGCCAAAACAGACGTGATAGGTCTAGACAGATTCTTCACCTTCATTGTGAGATGCAACTTGCAGATTGCTTTCTCGGATATATAGGATCGCGTGGATCTTGAGTCCAACATAGCACCTACGCGTGTACGTGCGATTTCTATATCCGTGAGTTGTAGGTCACCCTTAGAATAAGCTTTTTCAGAGTTTTTGCCTCAACATATCCAGAGAAATTATCTCTCACGTTCAGTATGTATCTCATCCCGCCCTTGCCTAATGGCATGGTGATGAGATATAAATGAACTCGACTTCTTGGTTCCACCAGAATAGTGGGGAGTAAAGGTTCAATCATTTTTGTGGTAGACCTCTTCTAACATAACACACATGATTTACAAAATCTGAAAATCATGTCTCTCATGCCAGGCCAGAAGTAGAGCTTGACAGTCTTAGAGTAGGTTGCCTCAGCAGCTCTGTGGCCACCTGCAACCCCCTCATGTAGAGAAACAATTATCTCTAATTGTCTCTCTTTACCACAGACCATTCTTTGAGAACTGTGACAAAATTATTAAAGAATGCAAACGTCAAGCATGGCAATGCAAAGAAGCAAGACTTACCGACTCAAGCAAAAACAAAGTCAGATGAGGGAAGAATGAGAACTCATAATAGCCTCAGAAAGTACACATGGAAAGGAGCATGACCAGCACCAATCAAGAGTCCTCACTCATCCCACTGAATCTCACACTCGGTCTCTCATTTGGATGTCTGTCGTTTGGGCTTATTGCCATGTCTCCGTACTCTCTGAGGTTGTGGCCTCTGTATGTAGAGCCACATGAAGCCTGCAAGCTCTGAACATTTCCATCCAAGGTACATGCCCCGAAAGTCAATCATGGAGCAAAACTCTTCCCATAGTATAGGTGGATAGGGTCTGGAGAAGATTCCCCGTCTGAGATGCTCGAACTCTGAAGGCTCCGACAAAGCCTGATAGTCAATCTACACTGGCGATATATACCTCTTTGCCAAGTCTATCAAGTCGCCCCAGCAAGAACCATCAGTCAGAGTAAAAGGTATTGGAGGCCTGGGATAGTTAGAAAAGAACTATGGTCCGAAGCTGCGGATCAGCTTGGTACCGCTCTCGTCGAGCTCTTTCTCTCTCTTCCAGGTACCCGGTTGCTGTGACCCAGATCGAATCGAAGTGCTCATGTGTCTCTTTCCCCTTCCTAACATAGGGTCTCAAGTCGTGAATGGTTCCTCCAGCGAACACAGAGTGAAGCACTAAAATAGATAGTCCGTCTTGCTTGAAGCCAGTTGCACTAACATACCGGTACTGAATTGAGTCCTTGAGGGCTATCTTGTTGAGATTAGTCAGGACTGATTCACTGACAGGGAAAGACTGAATCATGCTCATGTGCAGAGACGGGTACCGACACTGGGCTCACTGCCTTTGAAGAAGACTATGCCTATGGATGATGATCCCTGAGATAACCAGGAATTTGCTGTTCAATGCACAAGTTCCGAAATAAATGTTGAAGTCAAACTGCATGTATCAAGGGTATGAAGGATTCTCTAGAAATTACCCCAGAAGCCGGACTGACAATTTCTAGTATCCAAGATAGATGAGATTTGACTGAATACTGATCGGATTGCTTGAATGAATGAGGTTTGACAAAAGGACCGTTTGACAAATGACCGATTGTCGAGATGGCTGCTGATTGTCTCCGACTGGAAACTCGAGTGACTCAGACGGATGAAAAGTCGGTTGAGTACTGGTTAATCGCTGATTGACAAATGCACAACTGCCGATCAAGGGTTTTCTCTTATATTTGGTCCCGTAGTGTTGATATGTGATTTCCACCGTGTCCTAGTAGTGTCTCACCAACGATAGTTGAACATCTCTCTCACTTCATCCTTAATGTTGGTTCTCAATAGTCTCTCGCGCCTGATCAACAGTTTCCATGAGAGAGAATGTGCTATGCAATTTATCGTCCGACCTGTAGAAATAGATAACGTACTCAATAAACGT